TGTTGTTGGAGAGCAAAAATATGAGAAACACAGCCATAGACAGGATCTTGGAGCCTGGCTTGAGCTTCGTAAGAGATCGTGACTGCAGCCTCACAACGGTCGGCGACCGGTAGGTGCATGAGGATCTTCGAGACGTTGCTAGCACCGAAAACTTTATGAATGGCGGCGAAATGTGCAGCTCCTTGCTCATGGCAGAAGTACGGAGCAAAGACACAACCCCTCACACACTTTCTCCTCAAAAACTTGCAGGCACCGCAGGGAGAGCCAAACCCTGTCATATTGGCCTTTTGGAGTTCTGGTCGATGATGTCTTTTCTATTTTTTTGCTTCTCTGGTTTAGGCTTAGGTGGAGTACTATCCCCCTTTCTTATAAATACTTAGGATGAGAGCAGGGTGGATCATCATGTAATGAATAATTAATCTCTCCTGGTCTCCTTAATGGCCTACAGTCTTTATTTTTCTTTTGGCTGTGTATAGTTCCTTCCTTCACCTCATCTCAACTCTATGTTCATTTGAGATTCCATTCGAGGAGTCTCACTCTCGCAGGCTTACATCGACCCTACAATTTTATTTATGGTTAACTGTACATAAGAGTATAAGACTGCTTGTTGTGTCACTTTTTCGCACTTAATACTGTTGAGCGCTGCGGAAGCCAAACAACCAAATCAACGTGCTATGAGAAATCAAATCAAACGAACATCGAGAGAAGGCTAAACGAACCAAATCAATGCCACAAACACAAACAACCAATTTTAACGTGGTTCGGCAAGTTGCCTACGTCCACGGGGCAAGAATGGGATAAGGTTTTTTTCACTAATAGAGAAGAAGAGTACAAACTGAGATTACAAATCACTCAAACTCACCAAATAATCTCATCAACAAATCTCTAATTCTCTCCAAACAAAACCTTAACAAATAGCTCAGAAAATACATCTTTTCTGTGCTCCAAATATCCCCAATTTTCTTATCAATTCTCTCTCTTCCAATTGTTCTATATATATAAAAATCCTAAAATCATAAACATACTAGGAATTCTAAAAAAAAAACAAAACAGATTAGGAATCCTAATAACCTGTTACCAAAACAAATTTGGAATCATGTTATCAAAACAGATTAGAAATCCCAATAACCTGTTACCAAAATAAATTAGAAAATATATTAGGAACCTGCTATCCAACAAATACCCCTGTAGTTTCATTGTTGCGTATAACCCCCCGGTTAAGTTTTTAAAACTCTATCAGCCGTGGTGAAATTTTGGCGGGTGTTGCCCCCGGCCTGAAGTTAGCGTGTCTATCTAAAGGTGATAAAAAAAACCCCCCAGGGGGTCTATCTGCAGCGATGACACTGAAGGGGATCTACGTGGGATTAACCCTTTTATTTACTCTTGTAATTTTACGTCGCCGTGTTTTAAAATGGTGTCTCCAGTTTACCCTTGTTTACCTTGGGAGAGAGAAAAGGAGGTAGCCTAGTCTGAATTCTGCAGACAGCTCAACCCTGTATAGACCTGACAACAATGTGCATCGTATGCCTAATTTCTTTTAGTGTTTGAGCCTCTGCTAGTTACCAGACTATTTTAAGTACGGTTTTTCCATAGAGTGTCCATGGGCACTCTATAAGAGAGGAGAGAGAGATAAAGAGAAATGAATAAGGAGAGGATCCCAATGCAAATCAGAAGGTCCCCTCCTCATTCATTTCTTTTTATCTCTCTCCTTTCTTATAGAGTGCCCATGGGCACTCTATAGAAAAATGGTTTTTAAGTATGCTTTCCATGTATGAACCAGGACAGGACTTTTCGATCTAGGCGCCTAGCTAGTCTAATGCCTGATGCCTCACTTATTATTGCGTAAGTAAATGTTATAAGCACATTAATCTTTAGTTTAAATATGTTCCACGTGCTCACACATTCGCGCATATAACAACTCTACCCCAGTGCCAGATACTTTCTGCATCCTTAGTAGATTTGAGATATTTAACAAATATTGCCTCTAAAATTAAAGATCGATTCTAAATTCTCCTCTTACCGATTTAAAAATTTTCGGCAAACACAGGAGGGCTCTGGCGGTCAATTGAAACATCAAAACTTTACTCCAAGAAATGATATATCTAACTTGGTTTGAACATCTTTTTTCCTGACAATTAAGAAGACAATCAGTGCCTAATCTCTTTGGGACTTGTATAGATATACAATCCATCAAACTTATCAGTACCTAATTTACTTTGAGATACGCAATAAAGTTTAGCAACACGGCTCCTCGTATAAAATTCACGTGATTGATCTTCGAACACGAGGGTCACTGATGTTTGCCATTGAGAGGGAAAACTAATTAGAGGTGGCAGATTCTTTTACATGGCGATGACCACTTGAACTCAGACAAATGCAAAGCTAATGAACGTAGCATATAAAAATGAGCAATTGCTCAATGATGTGCTGGTTAAAGTAGTAGACTAAGAGCCCTACACATTTGTAAAGAGAGGTGCATGCTTTTCGATGTTTAGTAGTTTAGAATAGGAGGGGAAATTAGAAGAAGCACATCAACTGCCCCCCACCATCGCTTTCTTTTTTAGCCGTTGAGCGTACTTACCTAAATTACTTATGTAAAGTTGAGAAACAAACAAATGCAATTTTGCCACTTCTTAAGGTTCTTCTCTTTGTGGTGATGTTCAAAAGAGCTCTCCTTTGGTATTAGAGATTTCCGCGCTGAGAGTTCTACCTTTGGTCTTGTGGATGACCAAGTGCAATGGCTAACAATTGGGACAATTATTTGGTGCAATGGCTAAGCAAGTGGATAGGCAAATGAAAAGTAGGGGAGAGAAAAGGCAAAATTTGCCTACCGGTTAAATTTCACCAAGGGCCCCGCGTGTCAGAAGATGGTTGAGTGATGTGGAGGAAAGATAAAGTGAAAAACTTTTGAAAAACTAGTTGTTGTGGAGTTGAAAGGCAATTGGAAAAGGCAAGTGATGTGGAGGGAGAATAAAGTGAGGTGGAAGGAGAGAGAAATGCAATATTTGCCTTGCCATTGGAGATGGTCGAGCAAATACTAGAATTTAGAATACAATTTGAGATTTTAAGCACAATCCAATCTTTATTCTTGATGAGGATGCTTAATGAATAAAGAAGTTCATGATGTTTTCGAATGTTCCAAGTCGGACTGACTACATAATTGTAGATCATTTCTGGCAAAGAGATATAACTCAGATTCTAAGATGTTGTTTCCCGAAAAAGATTAGTAAACATGATATATAACCACATTAAAAATGCAGCCAGTTGATTGCCCAATATTATCATTGAAACTACAATGGAAAGAATTTTGTACACCAAGGCTACTAGTGTCACTGAATGAAAAATGAATTTAACCTTTGGAACAGAATCGTGTACACCAATGCTATTATTTAACTCTTCATTTGTTTGTTTCAGTCTTCCTACTTCCCTAGGAATCTCCCTTTCTCAATCTACTTTCCACAACTCTTTATCATTCTATGGCATTCAAAAGTAGATACAGAGCAAAGGTATGCCACTACACAAAAACATGTTGGGCTTTCTACTTAAAGAAATATTTGTATATTTTTTATCGTTATAATTGAGAATTTCACACATAAAATTGCGCAGAAAGACGAAGACAGAACTCTTGACTATCTAAAAAAAGATGATGGAAGAACACGACCACGAAAAATTAGTGATATGCAAATTCTGCACATGTATTTCAAAAGAAAAGAAAAAAGAGCTTCATCTAGGACCAATTATATTGAAGATTCTTTGTTTTTGTGAATTGCGTAATTTTCGCCTCTTTTCTCCCACCAATGAGTTAAAAACAAGCGAGACGAAGTTTCAAATGCATCTACTTTTAGATCAACATGAATGCTTTCAAACAGTTTTAAAACAACTTTTGACCATCAAGGTACGTATCAGCCTAATGTTCATGATGCGGGCTTAGAACTTCATATGCAAAATCTTCAGTCCAACAAGAAGCCGAGCATCGACATTTACTTGTTTCTTTGTATCTTCAAACATGATGTCATAAGAATTCTAGTTCACTTGCTTAACTTTTAATGTACAAGCTGGCATCACCACTTATTATCATTCTGTAAAAAAAGGAAGGGAAAAAATAGAAAGATCTTACCAAAAGCCAGTCAATGCAAGAATATTTCATGCCTGCATAATAAAGCAAAAATGAAGTGCTTGATGAGTTGGGAGTCAGAAAAGTATGTCGATTTTTATTCTATTTAATTGCCTAATGATATGCATTACCACACAACTATAGAGACTAAAGGTCACCGATATAAAAAAAGCTAGTTCAAAAAGAAAGATTATACTCTCAAATTTTATAAGTCATCTTCGGTATTCAACCCTCTATTTATGAGATCTTTTATTCCACGCCCAATAGTTTTTGTCCTCCTTTTCACCAACAAATATAAGCCCTTTCTAAATTTTTTTGAGTAACGTATAGTTTCTTGATCCGGTTAGCTACCTTCATTGACCAACTAATCTACTCATGCACTGAGTGAACTATGAACTATACAAGATTTGCAATTTTAAAGGATATATATATGCCAAAAAATTGGGGCACAAGAAAAATCACTGGTTATCCATTTGTTTCTTTTATCTTATTGTCAAAAGTCCCTGCTAAACGAGGGTCATAAGTTTATACACTAACATTGCCCCCGTAGGTTAAGAGCCACGAAACCTATACTTATATAGCTGTATCAAAAAATTTTTAAAAGATCTTTTTAAAATTCATGTCCCAATCAGCGCACCGAAGCTCTAAAGTTACAGCGAGGGTTGAGGGTTATGATTTTATAGTCTTAACATTTATTGAATAGCCGTTGTGTTGTCTGTTGGTAAATGAGTAACGCAGGCAAACAACACGGTTAAAATGAGAACTTCTTTTAAGGAAGAGTAAGTGTTGAGCTAACAACTACCTTGTTCATCAAAACATTATACAATAGATGAGAACAACCACCAACTGTATTCATGTCAATCTTAAATATCAATAAAACCAACAGATAAATTGAGCATGTAATTAGGAAATTTCTTTCTTCTCATGAACCTGAGTTTTTTCACTACAGGGAAGTCTTAGCTCCAAGCCTTGATGCATTCTAAAACTACAGAGTCTAGTGTGTTCAGATGTCTCCATTGAAAACCTAGTTGTTGACCTTAACGCAGGCACAATGTCTTCATCGGTCGGTCCCAACCGCTGCCCATGTACAAACTAATGTAATGCGATTAACTCATGGAAAATACATACGATCGCAGAGCGGGTAGCATTCAACATAAATATATTAGAGTAGAATGAAAGGGCATGCTTGGTTTCTATTTTTTTTTTATTTAAATGAACATAAATTATATATCATGAGCAGCTGAGCTCACTGTTGTTTCGGAGCTACTGAACAAGCCTGGAGACAAAGTAGGCCAGCATAACCAACACTGCCTGATGGTAGAGCGACAGAATTTAGTCCGTTCGCTTTCATAAAACGTATTTATATATAGGTTTTGGAGCGTGTAGAGAACGATTAGACGATTATTATTATTTATTGATTTTTATTTTTTGTCTAACTTGCAGGCAGAATTTCTCTGCATAGTACCCTGTAAAACCCCTTGCTTTGGGGGGTGATGTAGATGTTTTCTCTGTTTCTTCTGTTGTCGCATGTTCTTCCCTTTGAATTGTAAGAAACTTTTGGAAGTAGAAGCTCTGAGTTTTTGTCTTATCATTAGGAAAGTTGTAAGTATCATTACGCCAATCAAGCCAAAGGCACATGAGAGGAGACAGTGTAAGTTTGAGAAGTTAGCTAGTTTTCTTTTTTTTTTTTTTTTGTAATCTTCAGTCAAGTGTGTAGATAAACTAGGCCTTTGTCTGTTTGCAGGTCAATTTGACCGGTTGAGAATTGACTAGGCTCATGTCTCCTGCCCAAGGTACCAGTATGCGGCTCACGAAAGCTCAAGGTAGAATTCGAAGGAACTTAGCTTTAAAAGAAAAAAAGAAAGAAAGAAAGAAAGAAAGAGTTAAAATATAGAAATAATTTATCTCGGCCTGCAAGTTATGAAGTGAGATAGAAGTTTGTTGACATTCTTCAGATGTTAGAATGTCGGGGTGAAGCTCCTGGCATGTGTAACTTGTAATTGAAGTTCCAATTGTGAACCAAATTTAACCCATAATATTTGATGAACAACAGTAGAGAGTTAATTTGTTTTTCTCTTCTTTTTTTTTGGGATTACGAAAATGGAAATTTTTTTAATAAGAGAAAACAAATAGAATATACGTCAAGAAAAGGAAAAGGAAAAGAAGTATCACAAAGCAGGAGATAAAAACAAGGATTAAAGAACAATTAAGTAAGGTTTTTTCCCCCTACGAAATCACCTTTAAAATATAATAATACTATAGAAATCACATTTTATTGTCAATTTATACATAATACATAAAGTACCTTTTAAGTGATTTTTTGTTGCAATTATAGCCATCTAGATTCACTTTTCAAATTGAGTTTTTTCGGTTTTCTTGTAATGGTTAACTATCCAATTCCAAGTATATTATAGAGACGATCGTTAATATAGGTTAGACTAGGTCAAATACCCAAAAAAAAAAATCTAAGTCAAAAGTTGGCCCATGTGGTTGATTGCAACGAAAAATCATTTAAAGATAGTTTACGTATAAATCTATACTACATATAAAAGAGGATTGCATTGCTAAAACTTTTGATTTCCATTTTGGCACTTTTATGTTTGATAATTCTCAAATATATCATTAGTTATAACCAATCATTCACTAATTATATAACCTCTTATTAATTATACATTTCATCACTTTTCAAAACCTTTGGTCGCACTATTATTTTATTATTTAATTATGTTATTTATTAGAAAATTTGAAATTTATCCCTAATTTATCTTCATATTTTAAAAATTCTAGAAAAATTAAAAATAATAAAAATTCATTAGGCTTATGCCTTATATCTTTAGGTTTCATCTCTTATTGAGGACAACTTGTTACCTTACATCTTATTAGCCTTTTAAAAATGTGATAATAGTATGAAAAACCATTTGTATTTATTGTAATTGTAATAGAATTGATATTATAATAATTTTAATAGATTTTTAAATTAATAAACTACATTATAATTTAATTAATTTATAATTTAATAATTATAGAATTAAGTAAATTATTTACTAACAGTGTAATAAACTAACTATTAAATGCAAATATAGTTACTAATAGTATTATAATTATACCAACTATTTAATATATTATAATTATTAAATACATTAATTATAATAATTATTCAAACTATAATAAGTAATCATGCAGTTATTTATACACAGTTTTATTGTACAATTATTCATTTAAATAAAATTATAATTGTTCATAATTTATATTGCTATATGAGTCATTTAATATTTTGCAGCCAACAAAAACATTTAAAAATATAAAGTAAAACATGTATATAATGCCCCTTCCATAAAGAGTGTACTATACTAGTTGACAATAAATTGTTGGTTCTAATTAGAATGACCCTAATTTTAAAAGGTGTTTTCTGTGGGTGTTAGGGAGGGGGGGGGGGGGGGGGGGGGGGGTGGGTGGGGGGGGGGGGGGGGGGGGGCTTAAAAATAGAAGAGAAAAGTTCACCGCTATCGTTAATATTTACAACTAATTTATTTTGTTCTGTTCGCTTTTTTTTTGTTTTTTCAATATTAGTCCCTTAAATGTTTAATATTTTGAAATGTTCCCTCAAATCATTGAACTTGGCATAAGATCCACCAACTTTTACAAGTTGTTTCAAGATTAGATCATTAAATCCTTGATATTGCTGCCAGGGTATCTAATTCTATAAGTTTTTTCAAAATATTTTCTCCAATCAAGAGCAACTACAGATAGATATAACACTTGGAAGACCTAATAGCAATTTAGAGTTGATGTATTACTTTCAAAATTGTTAAAACTTTAAGCGACCAATAGAATTTGAGAGGACTCTATAGAGCAATTACCAGCCTAGCGGAGGAGAGGGCAATTACTGAAACAATTTTATAGAGCCTTTTTTAAGTTTGGCCTTTTAAGTTAGACTACGCCTAAGACAACCCAATTAATAGTGGGCTGCCATCCATAGCGAGGCTTACTAATGGGCCCATTCATACAAGGTAAAACAAAAAAAGTGAGGGAGTAATCTGTAAATTTTCAAAGAAAGATCTGATCGTGAAAAGCCCTAGTCCTAAGAACTTAATCAATAAATACTCACTGCCGACTAAAGCCCTAAACCCCTAAAACTTGATCGCTTCCGGTGCTTTACTCTCACATTGAAAGGTACGAGTCTCTCTCTAATTTCCGTAATCAGTTTGATTTTGTTATTTTTAGGTTAGTTTTGATTCACAATTTCCCCTAAATAAAGAACATATCGAAGGTTTTCAGGATTATTCAAAACTTACTGTTGAGCTCAGAAATCAGTGCGACACAAACATCGTCTGAATTAATTGCTCTCATAAAGTTTCAATCTTGAAGGAGATTTTATAATAAAAAAATGACGTAAATTTGTCAACAAAAGAGAGATTTTGGGCCACTAGAACACACAAAAAAATGACGTAAATTTGTCAACAAAAGAGAGATTTTGGGCCACTAGAACACACTTATTTACACGATCTCCTCTAATATAATTTCTCTTTCATCAAATTATAAGCTTCATCTTGTATTTCTGCCGCTTCTTGATTTATAAAAAGTAAATATCCCCCCCCTCTCTTTCACTATTTTTGCAAGTGATTAAGATGTTTGAGGTATGGGTCATCAATCAATTTAAAGCAGCCTGGCTCAATTTAGAGAAATAATACAAATATAATAATAACAATTATACAATAATAATAATAGTAATTGCGAAGGGAGACTTCAATATCCAAAGAAATAAGAAGTTTGTTTCAATCTTCTCTTCAATCATTCTTCATAATTTTTTGGTTAAATTGATGAACCGGTGTTGACTATAAGCAGATTTGGGTGTTAGGGAATTCACAGAATTTAGAGGATCTCATATCCTAACTGTTTTTTATTTTTTTCCAATCATACCGATCAAATTGTGAGTATATGCTATTAATAATTGAAATCTAATCTACGTTTTTCACTTTTTATTTCTGTGCAGTTTGAAAAAATGAGCTTCCACTCTGCTACCCAATCCTTCACCCTATCCGATAACCAATCCTAACTGGGCAATACCCATATGCTCATTTCCCCATGTGCCGACCCTCCGAACCTCCTTTTGACGATTCCTCCATTAGGGCATTCCGTTGAACACCTTAAAGTCACTGTCCATTCTCATCAAAATTTCACAGATGACTATACTTCTGACGATACCACATTTGTCTCCTAGGATGAGAAACTGTGATGTGTATATTAGGATTTCTCCATGTAGTAAACGGCCTACGATGGTTCGGTTCATTAGGTGGCTTCAATCAGAGCTTGAGATGCAAGGCATTTCTTGCTTTATGATTGATCGAAGTCGGTGTAGGAGTGCTTATGATCATGGTGTTGCGAGGTCAGCGATGGATGCGGCTTCATTTGGGGTGGTGGTGGTCAATAAAAAATCATTCTCGTGTCCTTATAGTTTGGAGGAGATTCGATTCTTTTTGGAGAAGAAGTTGGTGCCAATATTCTTTGGGCTTGCTCAAGTTGAGTGCATTCCTAGAGATATCATTGAAAAGAGAGGGGATGTGTGGGAGAGATATGAGGGTAGGTTATGGGAGTATGTGGTGATTTTGAAGTTGAATGGAGGGAGGCTGTAAATGGGATTTCACGGCTGAATTTAAAGTTGGAGGCTAATGCTAGTAATTTGAGGGATTGTGTATCGGAGGCTGTGGTTATTTTTAGATCAGGGTTGGGGAGGAGGAGAGTAGTGGAGAGGGTGAAGATTTGGAGGAATATGGCGGCTAAGAAGTTTCCTTTCCCTCGAAATTCTAGTTTTGTTGGTAGAAGCAAAGAGCTTCTTGAGCTCGAGTTGCTATTGTTTGGAGATGTTGAAGGAGAAGGTGAGGAGAGTAGAAATCAAAGAAGACAAAGAATGGCTAAGGTGGTGATTAGAGAAAGAGTTGTGAAAGAATCCAAGGAGAGGAGGAGAAAGGGCAAAGAGCCATATGTGGAGAAAGAGTATGTGGAGGAGATCAAAGCACAAAGCGAACTAAGAAAAGTAAATTTAGAATATGTAAAGGGGATAGCATGTGTCTCCGGTGACTGGCATTGGAAAGACGGAGCTTTTACTAGAAAATGCATATAGCTTTTCTCAGAGGTACAAGATGATCTTATGGGTCGGTGGAGAATTAAGGTATCTTTGTCATAATTATATGAAGCTATTTTCGCTCCTAGGAATCGACACAGATACGGTGAACAAGCTTTCTTCCGACAAGAAAGGGCCACAAAGCTTAGAAGACCTAGGGTTACGCGTTGACCGGCGTTGACCCTTAGGGTTTGAGTCGTCGAACGTTGACTTTTGTCGCAACGTGTTGCTTGGCGTTGACCTGGGGTCACGCGTTGACCGGCGTCCACCCTAGGGTTTCGAATCGTCGAACGTTGACTTTGATTGCAACGCGTTGCTTGGCGTTGACCTAGGGTCACGCGTTGACCGGCGCTGACCCTAGGGTTTACGGATAAGGTATCTTCGTCATAATTATATGAAGCTACTTCCTCTCCTAGGAATCGACACAGATACGGTGAACAAGCTTTCTTCCGACAAGAAAGGGCCACAAAGCTTAGAAGACATGGAAGATGAGGCAATTACAAGGGTAAGGAAGGAATTTTCACGGGACATCCCGTACCTACTAGTGATTGATAACTTAGAGAGGGAGAAGGATTGGTGGTATGGAAGGACTATAAATGAGTTCTTCCCTTGTTTTGGAGGGGCAACCCATGTTTTAATCTCCACCTGTTCGCCTAAAATCATGGGGATTGAACCCATGAGGTTTTTGTACTTGTCTAGCACAGAGGCAATGATTTTAATGAATAGAAGCACTATTGATCTTGGCATAAAAGATGTTGATGCACTGAGGATTCTCGAGGAGAAAGTAGGGAGACTTTCTTTTGGTCTAGAACTTGTAGGAGCTGTACTTTCTGAGTTTGCAATGAAACCATCAAAACTCGTTGATGCAATTAATAGTATGTCGTACAAAGAAGTGACATGGAATAAAGAGGAAGATCTTATATTGAAGCGTAATCCTTTCCTCGGACAGTTATTGGAATTTTGCTTGTCATTATGCAATCAAGAACCAAGTAAGTTAGCATTGCGGATAGTTCAAGCTAGTGGCTTATTTGCCCCTTCACCGATACATGTACCAATTTTAACTTTGGCTGCAAAAGAGCATCACAATTCTCGGTTTTGGTTGAAGTCTCAATGTATGTCTATGTGCATGTGTATAGAAACACCATGTGGAAAAATTTCAAAGGTTGAGGTTTTGGCTATGCTCTTGAGATTGCGAATTGCTAAGTCTACTACTAAAATAGATCACATTTCTTTCCATGATATTCTTAAGTTGCATGCCTACAAAAAGGCAATAGTGGAATTGCTTATTCAGTTGTGCGAGCAATAAAGTTTCAAGCGTTCATCCCACAATACTCGGAGCGTATATGGGTTGTGTGTTTCTTACTCTTCAAATTTGATATTGATCATGAAATCATCAACATCTCAATTGATGATCTTTGATCATTCGTTGAGCCGTTTGTCCTCCCTCTTGCAATGCATAGTTTTATTACATATTTCCGTTGCAATGCTGTTCTAGAGCTTCTTCGTCTTGCTACAGAAAAATTTGAGGAACTAGAAAATTTTTTCCTGGATGAAGCCAATAATAACCACAGTAATTCATCATGTTTAAGGAGTTCAAGTTCTATATCAACTTTACAATCTAACCCACTACTTTACCGAAAATTCGCACACTTGAGAGCGCTCTTTTAGAAACAAGGGCAAAGATTATGCTAAGAGGTGACGTATATGACATTGGAGAGAGGCTTTGTCAGCATCAAGGAAGTTATTTATGGCTGGGAGCATCCAGAAACAGTGTCTTGCCGTGAAACCCTTGACAAATTTGTTACCCTTCAATCGACTTTTTAGTTCATTGTACTTTTATAATTTTATACCGTCAGTTGCCAATAACGCACCCTTAAATAGGCTGATCTTCAGATCCTGCATATAACTGGATTTGATTTAGAATTATTTTTCTTCATGCAAAGTTTGAAGATATGTGGATTGCTAACTTTTCTGGCAAGTTGATTCATTCATCACATTTTTCATTATAAAACATTAATACCCAAATATCTAGTAATTTTGAACTGGATATGAGTTATGAATCTTTGTTAGCTCAACTGGATCATATTCAACTATTTTTGTTAAAGCTATTACAGATTTCTTTTTTTTTTCTTTTATAGATAGTAAGTTGATTTTCTTTTTTACTTCAATTCCTTTAAAGTTCTTTCTTTTCTAGTCGAATCTTTTTTCGTGATTTGGAATTACTGCAGCTTGAAAGAACTTCAATTTCCTTTGTTTTCATGAAATTGAGGGGAGCATAGGAACATTCCCCCAGCTCACTATTGAAGGTAATGCAATTG